GAAAAAAAATTTGGATCTCACATCGCCGAAGAGGCAGGGACTTTCACAAACCATAGGGGGCTTTCACGAACCACGGATATGGGAAAAAAAAAAAAAAAAAAAAAAAAGGGTCACCATCTTTTTAGGGGCAGGGTACCGGGTCCGAGGTTGGTGCCTCTCCATTTTCAAAAGAACTACCGCCCCTTGAATTGCGCTCGCGGTGCCATGTACTACAGCTTTTCCACATCCGCCACAACGCAAGGCTGCCTCGGACTTCCGCTGCTTTGTCGCCTCCGGCTTCCGCAGAAACAGGTGGGATCTGGGATTTTCTGGCGGAAACAAGTGGGATCCGGAATTTTCCCTAAAAGTGGCCTTCGTAAAAGAAGTGGGATCTGCCTCGTAGTAGTAGTGGTAGGTAGATAGTGAAGGTGGATTTGAAAGACTTTGAGAGAAGAATGAGAAAATTTATACATACATAAAAACAAAAGAGAGAAGAACTAGTCCTTCGGGACATCTGTTAAAATTGGAACGATACAGAGAAGATTAGCATGGCCCCTGCGCAAGGATGACACACATAAATCGAGAAATGGTCCAAATTTTTTATAAAAAAAAAAGGGAGAAGAACTTATTTTTGTGGGGAAAAAAAAACAAACAGCCCATGTTGCTCACTACCTTGTTAGTGCACCCATGAACTGTGGGCCTCGCCACACCACTCTTGAAAACTCATTTTCAAGAGTTGCTGCATCTCCACAAGCCTCTTGAAACTTGGGGCAGTCAAGAGCAGTCAGAGTGGCAGCCTCTTGAAACCCTTTTTCAAGAGGGTCTCTTGAAAGATTGCAAACCCCAGCCTGCCTGCAACTCGTGCTTTTTCTAGTGTGTCCTTGGCCCAACCCTTGAGGGATTTTCAATTTTCAAGAGTTGTCGGGCCGTTATCCTGACGCCATTCAAGGAAAACAAAGCTGTACGACTGGCGTTTTTTTTTTTTTTTTTTTTTCTATGCTATATTCTTCTCTCAAATCTTTCATCATCTTTCAAATTCTTTCAATTCACCTTCACTACCTACCTACCACTACTCCTGAAGCTTATACAGGGGACCCGTGCAAACATAGCTTTGTTGTCTCCCTCAAGCCATCAGAAGGGATGCATGTTGCCCCCCGCCCCAGCCATGGTGGTCAAGGATGGGGTGGTGCCACCAGTGGGGGTCCGGCTAACGCAAAGACCGAGCATTTTGCCAGTAGCTGCACCTCCCTTTTCATCGTCCCCCACCCCCAACCGAATAACAGCAGTGTCTAAGGCCAACACTCTCCCACACACCACACACAACCCACTCACACTCACACTCACACCCGTGTTGGCCAAGGACCCTGCTAATGCCGATCAGAGGTATCAAGCGGACTATCACCACTGCTTGGTTGGCACTAAGTGCGCAGCAGGCGTTCGTGGGGCTCGAACCCACAACCTCCAGAATGCCACTTGTGTGCCTAACCAACTGAGCTGGGCCGCTGGATTATGACTGTCATTTTTCATCCTCTGTCCAACACCATTACCCTTTCGAGAGTGATGTGTGGCCGAGAGTGATGTGTGGCGAGGGGCCCAAAACTCTTGAAAAAAATAAAAAGAGAACGTCTGACAGCTCTTGAAAAATTTCCCGAAAACTCTTGAAAAAAAAAGGGCCTCTCCACACACTTCTCGAAATGTGAAAAAGACAGAAATTTGGTGGGCGCATCTGGCCTAGTTCTAGCAGGAAGTTCATTCTCATTTTGCACATTTCCAGACTGGTGTCGCGATGCCCAAAAAGAGAACGTCTGACAGCTCTTGAAAAATTTCCCCGTTTCAACAGTGGTATGGCGAGGCCCTTTTCTTTCTTTTTTTTTTCTTTTTTTTTTTTCAAGGAACACCTTGGTTGTTCAATAGAATGATTGGGGCCCGCCACCCCACATAAAGGCCGGATAGGGAGCATTACCCCAGTTCGCTTTGACTGCCTGTCTTGTCACTTTCATGAGAGAGAAGGGGTGGACTGAGAAGGTGAAAGGTGGTAGCTTTAGCATTGCATCTGAAGGGAGGAATGAGAAGGGAGGATGGGGAGTTGCTAGGAAAGAGATGGGAAGAGATGGGAAAGATTGACAATTTGAACTGATCTAGACCTAATGTCTAAGGGTCTCGTTAGACACTCCTAAAAGAACCCTAAAATTTTTAGGACGAGTCCTAAAGGATTTTTAGGATTTTGTGCGGCGTCGTTACACGCAATCCTAAAAATCATCTTTTAGGATTCGTCCTAAAAGGTCTCCAGCGGCCGGTTTTCATATGCGTATACGCAGCCGTGTCGCCAATGTCTGTCCATTCCTGGCTCGTGTCCGTGGTATACACTGCGGTGGGCCGTCGGGGGGTGAGGACGGGTCGGTGAAAAGTGCGGTTAGCCAGAAGTTCGAAACTTCAAATTCGAATTTTCGCGGACGCAGGGTGGCGGGGCGGAGGACGGCCAGGCGACGCGTGTGATGTAGAAAAGACGGCGCTGGTGAACCATTCGGCATGGGTATCCATCTTCCGAGTCTGCGCGAGTTGTGACCAGCGGGTGCATCTTCGGCGGCAACACATCTTCACCTCCGGCGTGCGTACTCTCCTGTGGAAGTGTAGAGCAGTGGGCGCATCTTCGTCTCCGGCGTGCGTACTCTCCTGTGGCAGCGTAGAGCAGCGGGCGCATCTTCGACTCTGGCGTGCGTGGTCTCCTGCGGCAGGGTTGAGCAGCGGGCGCATCTTCGGCGGCTGTGGCGGGCATTACGCTGTAGAGTCGGAACGATTATCAAAGATGGACGTTCGCGGCTGTGGGCACGGTCTACGTGAAGAAGATATCGACGCGGTGGCGATGGCGGTGACTGTCTTCGTCCTGAACACGATGAGCGACATGTCATCCTCCTCCTGCGACATGCGTTTGCAGCTCCGTAAACGAAGAGCGCTGTTGCAGAGCGTTGTCGAAGCGCCGGATTGCGTGGCGACGTGTGAAGCAGTCATGCAGTTGTGTTCCACATTGTCGTCTGGTGTTTTCCCGTGGCAGACCCCGCGTTGGTGGATTAAATGACGGACTGGCGGAACATGGGAGGACCTCCGGCTTCGTGATGACGCCACTGAGGACTACTACCGCCAGAAGTTGCGCATGTCGAGGGCCATGTTCACCCAGATCGTAGTCACGTGCGCCGCGTACGTGGAGAAGAAGGTTGCGCACTACAGGATGCCATTGCCAGTGGAGCAGGTGATCGCTTTCCTGTTGTACAGGTGGGCGTTCGAAGAGACGTACGATAGCGGCACGTCAGCCTTCGGCATCGGCAGGGCAACTGGACTGCAGGTCGTTTGCGACGTCACTTCGGCGCTGCTCAAGGCGTACCCCGACGCGATAAAGTGGCCAGTGGGCCGTAGACATGCGCAGATTTTGCGCACTTTCCATGAGAAGGGTTTCCCAAACTGCTTCGGCGCAATCGACTGTACACACATCTACATTGACAAGCCCGTCGACGCACCTTGGACAACTACTACGACCTGAAACAAAAGTTCTCCGTCCAAGCGCATGTGGTGGTGGATTTGGATCTGCGTATCCTTGACGTCCACATGGGATACCCGGGAAGTGTGCACGACGTACGTGTCCTGCACAATTCCCATTTGTGGAGCAAAAATTGGCGAGCTGTTCGACGCACCTCCGGAGAATCTGCCGCACGGTGTCGTCACGCGAGGTTACCTGCTGGGCGACAACGGTTATCCAGTTGCCTGTCCATGGATCGCCCAGCCGTACGGAGGAATCGATTAACTTCTTGACGAAGAGCGTTTCGACACGCAGCAGAAGTAGGTGCGGGGGTGTGTGGAGAGGGCGTTCAGGCGACTGAAGTGCATATAGCGTTTGTTCTTGCGCACCCACAAGACGAACCTGGAGACCTTGCCACAACTATTCGTGGCCGTGTGCACTCTCCACAACATCCTCCTGGACGCGGGGATTGACTTCGACGAGAACCTTCGGTGGGAGGTCGACGCGAACGGCGTTCGGCGTAGAGTAGACTTGGGCATTGTGGGGAACGACACGGGTGAGCGGCAACGGACCACGAACGTGGACGAGAACTTGTTGCGGGATGCTCTCCGAGACCGCCTAGCTTTGATGTAGGACCTCGCGGACCGAATTTCAAGGAGGAGGGGGGGGGGGGGGGGGGGGGGGGGGGGGGGGAGGGTAGGTGTAGTAGTGTGATCGGCAGGCGGGTTCGATTGTGACGTGGTCCGTGTAGAGTGAAGTTTGGTATGTCAAGTGCTTTTGAAGCTCTCGGATCATCCTCCCCCCCCCCGGGGTGTGTAGGTTGTCCTCCGCCAGTCCGTAGGCGTCGTGCGCGAAGTTGCCGGGTCGCCTGTTTCGCGGCTTGTTTCGCGAAATGGCCTTTCTGTTATTCATTTTGAAAAGTGATCTATGCCGAAAGGCATCCTCATTTCACACTTTTTGCCTTGCTATGTGGGTGTGCATACATGCAAAACATTTCAAATATTTCGCTCATCCAGTGTGCGACGTTTATATATGAAATCTTGGCATGCATTCACATTAAATGATGTTCAATAAACCAAATCCCACATGTCGTGTTCATTTCGTCACCCCGTCGATGTCAACAACACCAAAAACACAAAAGCACAATCAATGCGACACATCACAATTGTGTCCCACACCAGAGATGACAAAATTGTTTAATGTGGCTTGGCGACTACAGGCTTTGCAAACTCATCGCAAAACAAAGTCAAGAGATCAACCCTTCGCTGCGCAATCCGAAAACACAGACACTAACATGCCTGCGGGTAAAAACGTTCCCCTGTTCATACTTTCCCCAACATGTATCGTTCGAGCTACCCCGAAAAAGATAGGGAAAAAAACATCAGAAAAAAAAAATTACCAGAAACTAACTTAACAATGACACGATTCGGGCCGCCTTGCCGAGCACATTCATACCGACGACCACTGCCGCACTCGCAAGAAAAACTAATTGGAGAACAAAGGTCGCTCGTGCAAAGTGATGGCGAGCGAGAGCACGGCCTCTGCCAGTGGCGGTATCCACGACAATGATGAACGCCGTCATCATGGATCGACTGCCGCGTCATCGTCGTCGTCATCATTCTCGTGATCATGGCGGTTATCTTCACCATCGTTCTCGCGATGACCATCATCATCATCATCATCATCATCATCATCATCATCATCATCATCATCATCGTCATCATCATCATCGTCATCATCATCATCATCATCATCATCATCATCATCATCATCATCATCAACGTCATCACCATCATCATCATCATCACTATTAGCATCGTCATCATGATCATCATGATCACCATCATCATCATCATCATCATCATCATCATCATCATCACCACCATCATCACCATCATCATCATCATCATCACCATCATCATCTCATCGTCGTCAGCGTCGGCGACATCATCATTCGCGTTTCATCCCCGCGGACGTACACCTTCATCATTGCCATCGCCACCGTGCCATGCCGTGCGCCGGACTGCATCCCGACCATCCTCGCCGTTCCCAGATTGTGGGAATATCGTCTTTCTCGGACGCCCCGCCGTTGTTGCCACACCTCGCAGAACCACTCTCCGCATGGCGGCATCATCAGGAGCTGCTTTTCTTCGGCATCGTCGACGTTTCCACGTTTGAAGCAGCATCATCGTCATCACGGCGTCATCATGACGGTCATCCATGCAAATAACTTCATGCCACGAATGTCGGTATATGCAGCGCGGATGGCTGATCAATCGCACCGATTTCCCTGCCTGACTCATCTCGTGGACACGCCATCAGCGTATAATCTACTAGTGTGCTCATCATAAGAAGAATTCATCAAGGAAATAAGAGAAAGAAAGAATGCGAACTACAAACGCAACGAGTGAACTTCAATCAACTCTCAATCGAATGACCTACATCGTCGACCGACCACGGATGGCGGCAACGATCTCCATAAGCGCGTGACACATCATCCTCTGTGTTTCATCGGACGCCATGTAGTGCGTTTTTTTAACAACAACTTCCTGCTCGAGTATGTCGCATTGCCTCGTCAAAATGTTGCATTGTCGCTTGCTAGAGGAATCGATCGTCGACGACATCAGTTCACCATGGCGGTCCATGACATCAGCGATCAACTCCAACGCCTGTTGACGTGCATTCTTCCGCTTCCTACTTGCACCCCCACTGCCTGCGTTGTTGTCGGAGTCCCTCGTCGAAGAACGTTCTTCGGGGCAGCCATCACCGCCGGCCTCACTACCAACAGACTCCCCACCAGCCGCTCCTCGCCTGGGCAGCTGCACCTCGTCCGGACTGCCGGTGTCGGCGACGTTGGGAGTTAAAATTGTGCGGTTCCCCAACATGCCTCCATGGATCTTGTTGTATAGCACCCTGTCCATCCGGAACTTGAAGTTGTTTTCCTTCCTTTCTTCATTTGACAGCCTGAAGAAGTTTGCCCCGCCGCTAGCATTCTTAAACCTCTGTATCTTCTTGTAGTTTTGGAACAGATTGCCCCACTTCTTCATGCAGTGGTCGGCGTCTCTAGGCCTCCCCGCCTTCGCCATCCGCTTGGCGATGTCGTCCCACTTCCACTCCTTCGTCCGCATCCACCCGTAATTGTGACCCAGCCCGGCGAGGTGCATGTCTTGCTCCCGCTTGCATCTCACCAGGAGCAGTTGGTCGTTCGTAGACCAGTACATCGCAGACTTCCCGCCGTCGTCGCTTACGCCTCCTCTGCCGCCACGGCCAACGGATCGACCACAAACAGCACCTTTGCTGCGTCCTTTCCCCCTCTCAGTCGTCTTCCCCAAAGGCCGAATATGAATGTTGTCGTCGACGTCCCATGCATCCGCGTGCTCCCTGAACCCTTTGTCGGCATCGTCACCGCCACCGGCGTCATCGTCGCCGCCATCGCTATGTGCCCGCATGTTGGACACTCCTCGTGTGATGTTCTCCACAGTGGGTCCTGGACGCACCAGTGATCTGCAAGCGGGCTCGTCCCTTACGTCGAGTTGGGTCGGCGTTGTGCGGTTCGACATCGACGACCATCCACCGCCGATGCGCGCGGACCCTGCTGCGACTCCACTACGCACGGGGCAGGTACTTGTCATTCGTTCGGCGAGCGGCGCAATCCATCCATGCTGTCGGGCTGGTAGTGACGGCCCGACACCTGCAGTCACGGACGCACCGCTATGAAGTGTGGATTGCTCGGTATGTTGACTTCCAGCACGTTGAAGGCCACATGGCGAAGGATCGGCGTCGATGATGAACGTACGGGTCGCCTCACTCGCGCTGTTGGAAGACAACGAGAACCTCAAATCGACTCCCCCATCGTCGTCGTCTCCCAAGCCTTGCTGCAGGAGGGAGGTGAACTCGCCACCTTCGTTGCTAGCGGACCCGCGTGCCCGCAGCGTCTGCGACAGCATCTCCGTCGAGCCGCTACCGAGAGGCAACGTTGAGGCAATGTTGGAAGTTCTTCTGTCTCCACCTCCTCGTCTGACGGGGGCGGTGGCATCTCCCACGACTCTAGATGGCTGTATACGGACGAGTCGTACCGCCGTCCCGGCACCGCCGACGCAGGTCCTCTTCCGCCCTGACCTGCGGCCAGTTCTTTGCGTGCCTGCATGCTCGCCATTGGACGTTCCCCTGCCGCCCGTTTTGTTGACGCCCTCCGCTTGCGACGTTGCTTCCACGGCCGACACGACAAACACACGTGGAGGAAGACAACAATCAGGAAGACGACGACAGCGAGTACCAGCAGAGGCAATCTCCTCTGCGCGTCTGCCATCAATTTCACCTCGGAAGGCACCCGTCCACGCAACTACTGCAGAAGTGTCTTCCCACAGGCCAGTGGATAGGGCCGCTGGACCTTCATATGTCGACAACCACTAGAGAAGACGACAAACGTGGATGCCTTCGATTCAAAAATCGACCGTTGGTGCCCATGCACTGCCCGAAGCGCCTCGGTATATCGTCCTGAGCACGCCGTCCTCTTCCTCCGATTCCCGCAACCCAGCCAACGGTCCACTAGGGACGCCCGCCCGCCCCTGCTCACTCCCCGGTGCTCCACCCCCGCCAACGGCTACCGTTCGTGGTCGTTGCCCGCGTCGACCCACAGAAAACCTCCGATGTCCGACCACTGACCCGACGGACGGCTTCTGCACCAGCAACTCCGTGTCGACAGTGCCATGCGTGCGACGCAACGAGTCCGTGAAACGCGGGAATCCTAAATTTTTCAGTAGGTCGGGGGCTACTGGAAAATTTAGGACGATTTTGCCTGGGGAATCCTAAATCCTTTAGGACTCTTCCTAACGCCGTTTTCACATTTTTGATCTCAAAATTAAATTTAGGGTTGCGTGCAACCAAGACGCAATCGAAAAACAGGCACTTTTAGAAGTGTCTAACGAGACCCTAATACTGGATTTACAGGTCTCCAATGTTGTAGAGGCTAATTACCAGGCACACAGGGATCACCGGGAGCGATGAGCCTTCACAGTCCTAAGATACGAGGTCACCTCCCACCCTACCACTCATCAATACTCCCAGCGTACCCCCTAACCCAACTATCTTACCTCAGTGTAACCCACTCAGGACCATCACCCAACCGCTAGGTGGGTGACTTGGACCAGACAGTAGTGATAGGCACCAAGGCTAGCTATTACCCCAGCCCCAGTGGAAGCGAAATCGGACAGGCTCGCTGTACAGGAACTTCGGATGCTAGGCACCACTACATTCTACCAACCTCGTATCCTTATTGCAGAGATTATAGACCCATGGGTTTTATTTTCGGGGACAGCTAACTAGCAGTCAGTGCCCCAGCCAGACAGCCTACCGTCCTTCCCCTAGCTTACCCAAGGCCAGGAGGAACTCAGACTGACAGTCCTACCGTCCTTCCCCTAGCTTGCCCCTATCTTGGCTAGGTGGAACTCAGACCTGCTGGGGTAACTACTGTATTCTATACCCTAGAGTCTAAGTCTATTGTACCCCGCCCCCAGTCTAACTGTAGATGCATGTAACCCCTTAGGCCATATGTATGTGCTCAGGAAGCCATGGATGTAGGCTATTTATGATGTATGTGTATACATCCAGAAGCCAGTTGTATACCCGACGGCAGTATGAATCATATATGGGGCCGAAGGCCATATGTCAGCACTACATGTGTGTTGAGAATACCATGTATAACGGACCAGACTGGACAGACCCCCCCAAAGTCTGTGACCAAGCTCGAACCCGTGACCTGTGAAATGTAACTGGAAGAGTCAACAGTATGCGCAACAATCCGAAATAGCATGTGTGTGTGGTATATCAGACCGGGGAGGAGAATCGAACGACCAAGACCAATACCCCGAGCAAGTCCTGCAGAACCCAGAACCAACACCCGGGACTTGATCCCCTGACCAATACAGGCAGGGTCTGTAATCATAACCATGTAGTGGTCAGAGGATAGTGTATGTCCAGCCGTGCATCATTCTAACGCCCCTGCTGGTGTCCATGCGCAAGGCTGCAGATTTGAACCCACAACCTTATACCACAATGCGCATTTCCAACAGGTGCTCTAACCACTGAGCTACATCAACTGGACAAGGTCTCCAATTACTCAACTGGACAAGGTCTCCAATTACTCTGACTATATCCACAGTCCTAAAATGGACTGGAAACAGCCTATGTCGGCTGGTGGACCTCTGGGTCCTGTAGTAAAGTGGCATCCTTCCGCAGAGGCCCTTTTCTCGATTTATGCGTGTCATCCTTCCGCAGGGGCCATGCTAATCTTCTCTGTATCGTTCGCACTGGGCTCGAATCCTGATGGCGACCAGATGAACTACCTGGGGCAAAGTCGCACGTCGGGAAGACGATTGGATCGAGCGACTGAATGTGGACGCGTGCGCGGAAAGAGGCAGAGAAGCAGATCAATCCCGATTTTCTGCACCTGTACACGATCATGCCCAGATTCAGGCGCTTAATCCAATCCTCTTCGATAGTGCGAACACCCCCCCGGGGGTTAGCTCAGTTGGTACACCCATAAACTGTTGAAATGCAGACGCGGGTTCGAATCAATCCGGCAGGTGGAAAAAAGAAAAGGTGTCGGAAGAAACCGATGTGGGGCAGGCCTAGAATTCCAGGTTTTCTAGTGGGGTGTAAAAAGAACGGTGTCGGAAGAAACCGATGTGGGGCAGGCCTAGAATTCCAGGTTTTCTAATGGGGTGTAAAAAGAAAAGGTGTCAGAAGAAACCGATCTGGGGCAGGCCTAGAATTCGAGGTTTTCTAGTGGGGTGTGCAGTGTGGCCCCGAGATAGATACTCAATGGGTCCCAGATAGATTGGGCATGATGAGTCCGTGGGCATGCTGGTAGGGAGGTCTGCTTCGGATGAGGCATGTGCTTCGGTATCGCCGTGAGCGCTGACGTGTCATGCGCTGATTGGACAGTGGTTTCGTGGCGCGCTTTGCTCCACGCAATCGCGGGGATGCAAGCGTCTTGGCATCGTCATCTCAGGTATGTTCCTCTGCTTCCCGCCTCCTCCACGTCACGCCTTCCATCTCCCCCTCCTCACCTCCTACTTTATCTCCATCGCCTTCTCCTCCTCCTCCTCCTCCCCCTCCTCTTCTCCTTCTCCTGCGGCTGCTCCTCTAGCTTTACTCCCTCCTTCACGCCACGCCTTCCATCTCCCCCTCCTCATCTCCTACTTTATCTCCATCGCCTTCTCCTCCTCCTCCCCCTCCTCTGCTCCTTCTCCTGCGGCTGCTCCTCTCTAGCTGTACTCCCTCCTCTTCCACGTCGTCCTTCCCATATCAACGGCTGAGGCATGGCCATATACCATCGTGGACGGCATCGCTATGGCGGGCAGGGCTACTTGTGCCACATCGAAGAACGCCAGGATAAGAGTTCTCAGTTCTGTCCTTTTTTTTGTTTTTGTAGTCATGTTCGTAAATGTTATAGCTCATTTCTGCGATGTCGGAGGCACGTCGACTTTGGGGTAAGAGGAGGAAGCAGAAGAAGATGGAAAGGGGGTGGTGGGGTGGAACGGCTATGCCGTCGTGTTACGTAGTGGGCTAGTCAGGAGAAGAATAAGAAAACGAAAGGAAAAGCAAAGGAGGAGGAGAGAGGGAGCGACGCATGGGTGGCATGTCGCGATCGGAATGCGAAGGGAATGAAGAAGAAGGAGGAGGAGGAGGGGGTAGAAGAAGATGCAAGGAGGACTTCTTTGTGCGATGTGACAAGCCTGGCAGGACCAGAGTAGTAGTAGTAGTAGTAGTACTAGTAGAAGAAGAAGAAGAAGACGAAGACGCAGAACGTGAAATAGAGGCCAAGACATGCTTTCACGGAATTACAGTCGTCTCCGCATGCACTGAACAAGAAGAAACGCGAGAACAAGAAAAAGAAGCAGAAGAAGAAGAAGAAGAAGAAGAAGAAGAAGAAGAAGAAGAAAGAAGACAAAGAAGAAGAAGAAGAAGAAGAAGAAGAAGAAGAGAAACGAAGAAGAGAGAGGGACAAGGCCAGGGTCATGGCGTTCCACGTGCGCGCACCTCAGGGCAGAGATTCATTTGGAAGTTCTGTTTAACTTTCTTTCGAGTTGATGGAGCTCTTCTTTTGAATGGTCACGATGATAAGTACGCAGAAAGAAGAAGATGGAGTGAATGCCTCATGATTTCGCTAACTAAAAAAAAGAAGATATAAGCTAAAAAAATGTAGCCTCATATCTGCGACGACGATCAAGCCGAAGAAGAAGATCTGTCTGTGTTTGTCTACTGGTTTTTTTTTTTTTTTCTATCTTTGTTTCCATCTCGCACAATTTGCTGCTGGTGGCTGCTTCATTACGAGTGTTTGCTAATTCTTTCCTTGTTACGTATATCTTCTCACTTCTTACGTAATTTCTCTGCTTCCGCCCCCGCGCCCCCCTCCCGCCCCCCTCCCGCCCCCACCAGAAGCCGTTTGCTTATCCATTACGTCTTTTCAGCCCCAAGGAAGGGAAGAGGAGAACCCATCCGCTCTGCCATGCTGGATGTCAAGTTAAGAAGCCGTCCTTCAGGCAGGCTAAACCAGGTGCTGAAGATCCGTTGATCTGTCGTTTTGCCGCCGATCTGCCGTCAATCTGCCGTGGATCTGTTGATCGCGATGGGCAGTGCGACATGCACTGGGACGACATGCGCAGGATTTGCCACGTCGGCGTCTCTGCGACGTCGATCCATTGAAAGCCTGCCACGTGGCGGCCTGTCGACCCAACACCTATCATGTTCGTGCCCATCGCCGTCTTCGGCAAAGAGCGCGTCGTCCTCGCAGACTCTCTCGCAAAGGCGCGGCCTTGTGAAGACATGTGCGACAACCTCCGAGCAACTAGTGCGCGGCAACACCGGCGGCGGCGGCGGCAATCCCGAGGCTTCGTCCGCGGCAGAGGCGCGCAGCACCCGCAACAGCACCGGCAATCGCCGCCATGGCCGAAGCGGGGGAATTGAAAGAGGACTTACCTATACGTACTATTCGAATTCAAACTCCTCGTTTGTGCGAGGGGCACGTGGCGTGTCTTCCTCATCTGCTCTCTCTGAAAATCGACATGCAAGACGGTCCATCACCGTCCGCTGCCACGTGGCGGCGGCAAGAACAAGCCGTTCACCGGAACCGCCGCCCCTCGCCGGGATAGCGACGGCGCCGGCGGCGGCGGCTAAATCCGCCATCGCCATCGCCGCCGCCGCCGCCGGCAGCGAAACGGTCCTGCTGACTGATCAGCAGCCAGATCTTCTTTCCCCATCGATGATCGCAGGAGATCGGACGGCAGCGACAACAACAACAACAACAACGTTGACACCACCCGCCATGACCGAGAGGGAGGAGGAGGAAAGACTGCGCTATTTGACCGAGAGGACAATTGGCGGCATTCCCAAGGACGAATTTCTGCGACTAAGTAAGCCAGCTCGGTACCTGGGCAACGAGTTCGGCGCGGTGCACAAGGCTTGGCGCTCTGCATCCGTCCGATTTTCCTTGACTTATCCCGAGATCTACGAGGTGGGAGCGAGCAACCTGGGTCACATTGTTCTCTACACGGTGCTTAACGACACCGACGGCCTTCTCTGCGACCGCTGCTACATGCCAGGCGACGACATGGCTGCCAAGCTTCGGCAGCACAATCTTCCGTTGTTCGCCGTAGAGTCCAGGCGCTCCCTCTCGGAGTTCGATTGCCTGGGCTTCAGTCTGAGCTACGAGTTGGGAGCGACGAATGTTCTTGAAATGCTCTCCTTGAGCGGCATTCCCCTGACTTGGGAAGCGCGCCTCGGGAATGACGACGACGACGACAAGCCGTGGAACGTAGAGATGGAGGGGGGAGGTAGCAACTCAGTCTGGCCCTTGGTCTTCGCCGGCGGCCCCACCGCCACTTCCAATCCTGAACCCTTCTCCGACTTCTTCGACTTCTTCGCGCTCGGCGATGGAGAGGACTCCTTGCCGGAGATCGGACGGTGTCTTCAGCAGTGCAAAGCCGAAGGTTTGTCGCGGCGCAGCACCTTGCGCAAGCTCGCTTCAACCGTGGCAGGCGTGTATGTCCCTCAGTTCTATGAGCGACTGGAAGGCTGGGGGGGGGCAGTCTTTCCTAAAGAGGAAGGCGTGCCGGCGCGCGTCGTCCGACGTGTCTCCATGCCCGACCCTTTTCAGCAGATCGGTCTTGTGCCGTACGTCGAGACCGTACACGACCGATTAACGGTGGAGATAAGGCGGGGATGCACGAGGGGGTGTCGATTCTGCCAGCCTGGCATGCTTACCAGGCCGGCGAGGGACGTCGATCCCGATCGGGTTGTCCAGGCTGTCACCGACGGCATGAGAAAGACCGGGTACAACGAGTTCTCTCTTCTGTCGTTGAGCTGCTCGGACTACCTGGCGCTGCCAGCTGTCGGCATAGAGATCAGAAACAGGCTCAAGGGGGAACCCATCTCCTTGGCCCTGCCGAGTCAACGCGTTGACCGATTTGATGACAACATCGCCAACATAATCGGAGGGGCAAGGAAAGGCGGGCTCACGTTTGCGCCGGAGGCGGGAACGCAAAGGCTGCGAGACATCATCAACAAGGGGCTGACCAATGAGGAGCTGCTACGCGGCGTCAAAACCGCCTGGGACAAAGGGTTTAAGCAAGTGAAACTCTATTTCATGATCGGTCTTCCCGGAGAGACAGACGCCGACGTCAGGGGTATTGTCGAGACGGTGAAGTGGCTGCAATCGCAGTGCAGAAGAGGCAAGCAACGGATCGGGATCCGGTTAACCATCTCCAACTTCAGCCCGAAGCCGCACACGCCATTTCAATGGCATTCGGTCTCGACGGCGGAGTTCCAGAGGAAGCAGAGGTTTCTCCGGCGGGAGCTGTCTCGCCTCCACGGGGTCAAGTTCAATCTGACAGACGTCAGGATCTCAGCGATGGAAGATTTCCTCAGCAGAGGAGATCGACGGCTGGGAAAGGTCATTCTGCGAGCGTGGCAACTGGGCGCCACAAACGATGCATGGTGGGGTAATTTAGACGATTGCTTCGCTAAGTGGTCGCAGGCGATTGAGGAATCGGGGCTGTCTTGGAAATACCGACAGGTGGAGGAAGGGGAGTGGGACGTTCTGGAGAAGCTGGGTGATGGGCAGTACAGAGGGCAAGGACAGGGGGGGAAAGGGCGCTTGGATCGGGGCAATCTAGCGGATGACAGGCTAGATGCCCCTCTTCCATGGGATGTAATCGACACGGGAGTGGCAAAATGGTGGTTGAAAGCGGATCTTCAGCGGGCGTTGGAGGCAGCTACAGTGCCGGACTGTGCACATAGCGGCCTGTGCTCAGAATGCGGTGTCTGTGGGGAGGAGTTTGGGGAGAATGTCGTGGCGGAGGTGCCTCCTATCCCCGAGTTTGTGGGTCAGTTCGTTGCAGATCAACGACGGACCCAGCGGCTCAGAATCACCTTCGGTAAAGAAGGATCTATGGTGTACGTTGGGCACTTGGATCTCATGCATCTATTTGACCGTGCGATGCGGCGGGCCTCGCTGCCCGTCGCTTTCGATGGCGGCTTCCATTCCATGCCCCAGATTGCCGCGGCCATGCCTCTCCCGCTCGGTCACAGCAGTTGTGCTGAGCTGCTCGATGTCTATCTTACAGAGCGTGTGGGTGTGGACGAGTGCAAGCGAAGACTCGCAGAGCAGCTGCCTCATGATCTTCCCATCCTCAACGTCGAAGCTCTGCCGGTCAAACACCTCAACGGAAAGTACTATGAAACGACGGGAAAGCTGCTCGTCGCGGCGGAGTACGTTGTTTTGCTCCATCCACGTGAAGAGGACGAGGAGGTGGTGGGAGAGGAGAGAGAGGAGGAGAGAGAAAAGGAGGAGAGAGAGGAGGGGATAGAGGAGGAGGGAGGGGTATTACTCACTGCTGTGCAGCAGAGTGTTGTTGTTCCGGATTTGACCAAGTACAAAGAATGGATAAGAGAGGTGCTCTCCATGGAGACGTGTATGGTCGCACGACCCGCCAAGGAAGGGAAAAAGGAGAAGGTGGTCGATGCTAGACCCCTGTTGTTCGAATTCGAGGTGTATAAAGGGGTACTTCCAAAGGCAATGCGAGCCCCACATGCTCCTAGTCGTTGCCAAGGAGATGTGATCGTACGGTTCGTGGGCAAGTGCGGTGGCGATCTTGGCCTCAGGATCGAGGATGTCCTTGAGATGCTCAGGCAAGTTGCAGGTCTGCCCTTCGTCGCTGCTCATGTGCATAGAAATAAGTTCATCCTTAGCGAGCCCGTCAAACCCAAACCGAACGTGGAGTACCTTACCTCCGTCGTCAGAGATGAAGGCTTTCGTGCTTTGTACCGTAGATTCGATGGGACTAGTCGGATCCATAGCGAAGATGGAACGGGATCGGGACCGACTCAGGCCGAAAATTATGTTGATGCCGCACGGATTGCCAGAGAGGCTAGTCTCTCACGACCATAACATTCTTGGTCCTTTTTTTTTTTTTTTTTTTTTTTTTTTTTTTTTTTTTTGGTATTTTTTTTTTTTTTTTTTTTTTTGGGAGGGGGGGGGGGGGGGGGGGGGGGGGGCGAATATTTTTTTCTTTTTTTTTTTTTTTTTAGGTCTCTTGTAGATTAGGAATTCCAACTTTTTATTTTTTTATTTTTTTTTATTTTAAGTCCATGGTGTTGTAGAGGCCAGTCAATGCCAACTTCGTTGTCGTGTTTGAAACTTCGTTCATTTTTTTGTCATAGAAAAGGGCGACGACCTTGAGATATGATCATCAATCAAACTGACCGGCCCTGGCCCATACAAAAGGTAGGTAATTCAAGGTAACCGTTGTATTATTTTAGTCATTTGACTGCAGTTTATTTCCACAGTGCAGGGGTGTACTTACTGAGCTGAAGGGGTGTAGTAACTGAGCTAGCCTGGTTGGTTCTCTGAAATTTTGTTCTTCTTGTCGGCTGTGGTGTTCGATGGTGATAACTTATAATTTATAAATATAACTTGAATAATAAATATATGAATGTACATTACCTCAAAACCGTTTTGCTGACCCTTTTAGCCAACTGGAACCTCGCCGCACTGGACGGCCTGCACCGGGGGCGAGGTCCCACTGGCAAAGAGGATTGGATTATGCGCCTGAATCTGGAAGGGTTGTCAGCAGAGATGCAGAAAAGCAGATCAATCGCGATTTTGTGTACCTTTCAGGCGTTAAATAAAAAATCCTCTTCGCTATAGTTGGACCTCGCCTCCGGTGGTCTTATTCATTTCCTCTTATGGTAGTTGCCGGGTACTTCGACTCCAACAGCTGTTGGCCAATGGTGTTTCCTTTTTTTTTTTTTTTTTTTTTTTTTGTTTTCCGTTGGGTTTTTTTTTTTTTTTTTTTTTTTTTTCATTTTTTTTTCCCCCCTATGGATGATTTTCTGGACCTACCGATTGTCTACTCACTTCTCTTACCATGTCCTTTTACTTTTTTTTTTTTTTTTTTTTTACTAGCCGGTACTGGGTCAGTTTTYTTTTTGCCTTCATGGATGTAGGGTTGTTTGCTCTTGGGGCCTCGGCACAGGCTGTCGAAATGTGCAAAACGAGAATGAACTTGCCGCTAGAACATGGCCAGATGCGCCTGGCACATTTTTGTCGTTTTCACATTTCGAAAGCCTGTGTGGCGAGGCCCTTGGTGTCTTTGGTTAGGAGCGGACCGGTGATGCTTCGTGATCATGTTCTGTTCGTATTTAAGGTCGTTGAGATCTTTGTGGTTCACTCTGTATATGGGACGCTGGACCCGTTTTCCAGCAGGTGGAGCTCCCCGCCAATAGATGGAGCCTCTCCCCGGCAGTACTGGTGGTACCTGCTCTTACCAGTACCACCAGCACTGCAGGGGGTGTTTGTTTTGTAAGCAAAAAAAAAAAAAAAAAAAAAGAGGTATTACTGCCCAAGCAACTAAACTTAACATAAATGTAATGACTGGAGCCATTATAAAGATGAATAAATTAGCACTACTTGGTAGAATAGGCTCTTTTATCATTAATTTCAAACCATCTGCTAAAGGTTGTAATAACCCAAACAATCCTACCACATTCGGACCTTTTCTACGCTGCATAGAAGCCATTACTTTACGTTCAGCTAGTACTAAAAAGAGGTAGCATGTAGGTATGCGCAAGTGCCCCATCCACTGATGAGGTTGTTTCTGGCGGAACGGCTGAAACGATCGTATGGACTACCGCCAGAGTGGCGCTCTTGTGTACGTACTCTCATGTTGTTCTTTTGAATAAGGGGCTCGTTCGACACTCCTCGGGGCGTCCTCGGGCCCCGAGGACGATTCCTCGGAGTCGCCCGAGGAAATCGTCGCCTTCGTTCCACTCATCCTCGGAGTCGACCCCCGAGGACGATTCCTCGGGGCTCCCGCGGGCCCGATTTATATATGCATAAGCGGACGCGGGGGTGGGGCTGACGGTGGTCCACCGAGTTGTGTCCGTGCGGACGGTGGTGGTCCACCTTTGTTGGCCGTCGCGAATTGGAAGGAGGGCGGGACACGAAAAAAAAACAAAACCGGGGCCCTTGGAAATGGCGCGCAGCGCTCCTGTTCAAAATTTGAAATTTGAAATCAGGCTTTGCGATCGGCGGCGCGTGGAGGACGTACGTTTCAGGCGTGGTTGCGTCTGCGGCTGGCGTTCGTGTCGTTCGCATAAGTGACGATTGTCCCCTGCGGTTGTCGTCGATGAGCACGGTCGTTTACGCGTCGGCGGCAAGGGAGTCCAGTGTGAATCTCGTGATGTCATCGGAAGCGGCGTCTGGGATGGACGTTGACGGCGGGGCAGGGCGCGGTGGTTTGACGACGGCGGAGAGGACTGCTATTGCTGCGGTGGTTAATGCCGTCCTCTTCTGCTGCCAGATGGCGAGCAACGACGCAAACTTCAAAGCGGCTGTTCGTGCACGGCACAAGCTCATGGCGCTTCCGACGACTGGGCAGTGCTTGGATGTGGCTGCCATTTCCGACGCGGTGCTGGAGGTCTGCTACGCGATGGGGTGCGGGGGGTTTCCACGGGCRACTCCACGGTGGTGGGTGAAGCGGCGARCCGGCGGCACGTGSGARGATCTGCRGCAATGTGATGACGCCACGGATGATTACTTCAAGGAGAAGCTTCGAATGTYGCCTCGTGTTTTCCGCGAGATCGCGGAGACTCTTTCCCCACTCCTTSAACGCCGTGTGACGTTCTACAGGGTGCCTTTGCAGCCAGACCACATCATTGCGTATGCACTGTACAGGTGGGCGACGGGGGAGACGTACGACAGCGGGACGTGTAGCTTCGGCATCGGGAGGGCTTCCGGCATCACGGCGGTGCATGACGTCACGGCGGCGTTGCTGATTGCTTACCCCGACAAGATATCATGGACCACAGGTTTGCAGAAGGCGGTCGTGTTGCGCGCCTTCGCGGACAAGGGGTTTCCAAACTGCCATGGGTGCATCGACTGCACACATATCTACATCGACAAACCCGCGAAAGCCAACGGTGAGGACTACTACGACAGGAGATGTCGATTCTCCGTGCAGGCGCAAGTGGTGGTCGACATGAACTTGCGTGTGCTGGACGTCTTCGTCGGTTATCCGGGGAGTGTGCATGACATAAGGATGTTGAACCTGTCGAGTTTGTGGGTGCGCGCAGAGTCAGGACAACTTTTCACTGGCCCGCATGTGATGCTGCCTTTCGGTGTGCGGACTAATGGCTACTTGCTCGGCGACAATGGTTATCCGCAGTCGGAATGGATAGTCGTCCCTTACGGCGGTCTCGCGCAACACCCGACGGAGGCACGCTTCGACAACAAACAGAAGACGGCCAGGGGAGCAGTGGAGAGGGCATTTGGCAGACTAAAGGGGATGTGGAGGTTGTTCCTCCGCACCCACAAGCGCAACATGGACAGCTTGCCGCAACAATTCGTCGCCGTCTGCATCCTCCACAACATACTCACCGACGTTGGCGTCCCGTTTGATGACAATCTGCTGTGGGAAGTGGGTCCAGACGGCGTGCGTCGTAGAGTGGATCTGGGGATGCATCAGCCATTGAAGCCAGTGTGCATGGAGTCTACGACGGGGGATGCGCTGATATTGAGGGACGCGTTGGCGGAGCGGATGATTGCGCAGTGAGGTGGGCCGTGTTCGCAGTTGGAGACCCCGCCATGAATGAAACCTGTCTCTTATACACATCTAGATGTGTATAAGAGACAGGAACTAGAGGTGGCATCTTTGGGTTGTTGTTGTTGTTGCTGTTGTTTTTACCCTCTCCCAGTACTTCCCAAATCCAACCTCCTTTTTTTTTCAGGCATCTCGGTTTCAGTGTGTCGAGGGGGAGGGGGGGAGGGAGCGGGGTAGATTAGGGGTTGTCCGTTTGTAGGAGGGGGGAGGGAGACTATGGAGGAGGAGGGGGGGAGACTGATAAGGAGGAGGGGGGGAAGGGAGATTATGGCAGAGGAAGGGAGATTGATGTGGAGGAAGAGAGAGGGAGCTATGGCAGAGGAAGGAGAGAGGTAGAGTACGTGGAGGGAGGTTTACTGCTGGAGGATGGGGGCAAGAGAGAGACTGTGGATGGAGGCATTGGAGGGTGACTGATGTGGCGGGAGGAGATGGCGGAGGAAGGAGAAAGGGAGACTATGTGGAGGGAGGGAGACTGATGGAGGAAGAGGAAGGAGAGAGGGAACTGCCATGGCAGAGCAAGGAGGTGAAAGAAGAAGCGCTATGGCGGAGCACAAAGAAGAAGAAGAAGAAGAAGCAGAAGAAGAAGCAGAAGCAGCAGAAGCAGAAGCAGAAGCAGAAGCAGAAGAAGAAGCAGAAGCAGAAGCAGCAGCAGAAGAAGAAGAATGAAAAGAAGAAAAAGAAAAACTGAAGAGAGTAAGAAGAGGAGGAAGAAGATTACGATGGCGTGGATGGAGGGCCACAATGATGGTGTGGCTGGAGGGCGATGACGATGGTGTGGCAGGCAGGCAGCAGGGCAACGACGACGATGGCAAGGACGAGCACGGCGCGGCGACGATGGCGAGGACAATGACGGCAAGGCGATGACAAACTGGCGCGGGGCTTAATCCACACAGCGGAGGGCAGAGGGCAGAGGGCGCAGAGCCGCGCACGAAGTCCCGAGATTCGAATTCAAAATCTCGGGACTTCGGCACCGTTGAGCAATGCAGATCAACGCCCTAGGCGGAAAAAAAAAAAAAAAAAAAAACGAAATGGGGCCTACCGGACCCCGGGAAATTTTGCGCCCACCCCCCCAAAAAAAATTCCCTCTGGGCCATAGGTCCGCAGCGCAAATTTTTTTTTTTCAGCTGTTTTTGAGGGCGGCGCTGAGGGGGCCCGGGTGCCTGGTCGAGGGGGTTGCGCGACTGGGCGCCCCGAGCGCCCTTCCGTGCGACCTGGGGTGGCCCGAGCGTCCGGGCTGGAAAGCTAGATCACCTGTGGAATCTGACAGGGAGACCTTTTTTATTAGGGAAAATTGCATCTGTACCCCACTTAAAGATGGGAATACCGCCTATGTCCCAGCGCCAACTTGCGTCTATACCGAGAAAACGGCTGGCGGAAATTGTTTGCAAGCCCAGGACCGAGCTGGACCCAGGTTGGTACCGTAAAATTGCGGTTATAACCAACTACTGGAATGAACCAATTAATAATTATGGACATAACCAGGCACATTACAAGCATACCCGGGACCTGAGGAGGAGAGGCCGAATTGTTCATATACCCTGCTACCGGATGGCTGAAATTATGCTCATACCCAGCAGCTGTTGGGCCACAACAGTCTACTTGCTGGGCATGAGCATAATTTGGTGCTCCGAATACAGGGCCTGTGGGATTGGGTACACCTATCTACAATTTCGCACAGGGGCCAAGCAGGGTAGTATGCAAAGTTGAACGGCCTCGGTGTATAGATGCAAGTTCGCGCTGGGACTGGGTATAGCGGGTATTCCCATTTTTAACTGGGGTACAGATGCAATTTTCCCTTCTTATTATCATCATACCATTACAGTATTACGGGGAACCCCATAGCAGCCAGCCCAAGTCCAAGCCTCCATCAAGGGAACATGCGGGGGCTGCGACCGACATGCAGGTGGATGATACCGGGCAGGGGTCAGCTGGTAGCATCAGGACTGAGCTTCTCTTCCATGGGCCAGTCACTGTGCCTCCCCTCCAGTCCCCTTCCCCAACACACATCAGCAGTGTCTGCTCAATGGCGCTCGGTTGATGGTGCTAGGGGCGGCCAACGTCCTATCTGTAGGTGGTGGCCGCCAAGCTAGCTGCTCAGGAAGGTACATGACGCCAATGGGGTTGAACCCACAACCTCCTGAATGCCACTTGCATGCCTCACCAACTGAGCTAGGCCGCTGTATATCGCAGTTTCTTTGCTCCTATCTACGCATATTTTCCTTCTTGTTTTTGCTCATCATTCCTGTGGGAGGGTCGAATTTAACCCTCCAGGAATGAGGATTAGAGAGAGTGGTTCGTCTGTGAAACGTCCGCAAGATAAGAGAAGCTCACACTCGACAACAACACACACAAGAACAAAGACATGCTTGTGTGTGTTGTTGTCGAGTGTGAGCTTCTCTTATCTTGCAGACGTTTCACAGACGAACCACTCTGTGCCACTGTTTCATCAGAGTTTCACCAACTCATCAGGAGGTTGAAACCCCGACAGTCTTCCCAGGACGCATTTGACTGGTGGATAAGCGCTCACAACTTCGTCCGGAGTTAGTGTGTGGGTGTGTGTGCACAGGCAAGAGAGAGAGAGAGAGAGAGAGAGAGAGAGAGAGAGAGAGAGAGAGAGAGAGAGA